ACGCATAATGTGTAGCCAAGCATGCTAGCACAGATGCTCAAGTGTCTGTTCTACTCCTGCTGTTGTGCAATGGGTTTTGTCATATCCCCAAACCTACTGGTTGGGGGAGGGGGGTAGTTTAGAAAAAAAAGGGGGGGGGGGGGGGGCTATCTCGAAGTCGGACTTTTGCAAGCCAACCTAATTACATCGCAAGAGGGATAGAGAGATAGAGAGAGAAGGGGGGGGGGGTACGTGAAGACGAGTAAAAATTGGCCAAACGAGAGAAGTTGTTTTCAAATCACTCGTGTAAAGCATTCAAGGCTACGGATAAACGGTTACCAAATGTCGTTACCAAGCCCACAGCTGCCACAAAACGGCTACACTTTTCTCCATGATTACCGATGCAAAAGCACAACATTGTGTATATAATTAAGCTAATGACCTCAGGAAATCCCCTAAAAATGTCGGGTCAGTAAGAAAAAAATAATAATGCTTTGGCTCCCAACCGCACGACTCCCGCCGAATAATTACAAGCAAGGTTAAACACATACGCCTCGAAAATGTCTTGACAAAAAAACCCCATGCTTACGAACCTTGGTGTTTGCCAAGGATCAAGGCAAGCGATAATTTCTGTTGGGAATTAGGAGGAGCGTTTTTCGGGACACTTACGAGCCAGACTACGAGTGAGGGAAATAACGAACCGTCCAAACAAAACACGAGCTATATAAACAAAGAGCGACCTTGTCTTTACAAATATTATTCTTAGTTTCGGAAAAAAGACGATTTTCAAACCAAAAGTAATTACGAAATGGAGATTTCTTTTCAGCAATTGGTGGCCGTTGAAGACAATTTCGACTGTACTTCTGCTGTACCCTATAATATGCTTCCCAGGAAGTTGAGATTGTTTCAGAATGCTTTCAAGTCTGCTGGAGTAATTATATTGATTGTAAAGCACATAGAGCTTACGGTTGAGCTGGAATTTTTGCTAAACAAATTAAATGGTATCTACCTACCTATCTACCTACCTACCTACCTACCTACCTACCTACCTACCTACCTACCTACCTACCTACCTACCTATCTATCTATCTATCTATCTATCTATCTATCTATCTATCATTATTATTATTATTATTATTATTATTATTATTATTATTATTATTATTATCATTATTTTTTTACAATTATTATTATTATCATTATTATTAATACTATACTTCCGCTCTTCACTTGGAACTGAGCATGCACATCGAGGCTTCTCACTCTCAAAGGGGCAACATGTGGGTCACCGTGGTGTCATGCGCAAAAGACGCTGTCAACTTATTTTAAAGGGGGGAGGGTGTTAAATATACTTTTACCAATTAGTGTTTATTTAATTCAGTGCAGCATTAATAAAGTATGTATTATAGTAATAGTAAACTGTACCTTATCTTTTTATTCCACAAGTATAATCCTACGCTCATAAAAAATTGCCCGGAACTGCTATGGCCACCAAAACATAGGTGAGCGGGTACCTCAAAACATTTCCAGGGCGCCAAAAAGGGGGGGGGGGGCCTAAACGTCATACATAAAAAACCGTAATTTGGATGTCAGGTAAAATCACACGCTGTCAAACGACCCACGCACTATTTGTGCACGTCATAACAAAACAAAATCAACCCAGAAAGTTGCCTTAAGCAATATCCCTGGTAAATTAGCCTCCAATTACGACCAAGAGGTTGCAGGGTTTTTTAATATTTTTTTGAATGACCGTATCTTTATTTCTAATTGGGTTTTTTTTTCTTCTTACATTTAATTTTTTTATGTTGGGGGGGAGGGGAGGGGCAATGGTGCGTGTTCCATTTAAAACACTATATTTTTGTTTCTTTGTTTCATTTCCTTTCTCTACTTCCTTGATAACTTTCGGGTCACTGCATTCATTAGGAGTCCTCGCCTCACATAATGATGATGTAAAATCGTTACATAAAAGAAAAGAGAAAAAGCAAATGGATGAATAGCACATATACACATTCCCACATCGATGTACATGTATGATTTCTTTTTTTCACACGATACGATTTTTACCTCTGTCTTCTTTACTCATCCACTTAGTCAAGGACCCTTTTTGAAAAGAGTGGTGTGTTAACAGCACAACGTTATACATTCAAACAAGAGCAAACTTCACTCCTCCCCTCCTGTTTAAAAATATAAAAAAATTCTACTGACTTCGTCTAACACTCACATTCCTGTACAAAGAAAACCACTCCACACAACATAACTATCCTGAATCTAGCACAGGAACCAAACAAAAATTTACTGGGGTACATGACCTACATTTTGCACCTGGAAAAAGATTTATTAATGATGGCGGGAACGATAAGTAGACACCACTGTACAGTTATCAGCACTGTCTTTTTGTAAAAAGTAAGTTTGTTAGAAATATCACGTAGTCAAAGCGACGTAGACGCATAATTATCAACACAACAAACACAATATAGTTACAAAAATAACATAATGTGGCGCAGGGCACACTGTAATTTTGAAACGCGTGGAAAACTGAGGTTAAAGTAAACTTGAATCTCTACTTTGAACTTACTTGACCTAGTGAGCACTCACAGTGGTGTCACATTTAGATCGCCTTGATGTCATGCAAGAAAGACGCTTTTAACTTATCATAATAATGGGGGTGAGGGTCGAAATTAATTTTCACCGAAAGCGTTTTTAATTTTTGCCACACTTAATAAAATATATAACACAGCTATATCCAATTTCCGAGCATTGATAAAGACATGGTAGAGTATTCACCTGACTCCGTTGAAGTTTGCCCTGTTACATAGGCTAAACTGGTAAAACTTTTTTCAAACATGTGAATTAGGCTGAAATTTTATCTCTGCGTCAGACAAAATACTTGTCCATACGTATTTTGACGGGTTTTGATATTCCACGTCTCCATAAAGACAAATTAGACCAATTATGGAGCAGGTTCTTCAGCCCTGCCAGTCAGGAGCAACAAGGTCAGAGTGGGATAGTGGTTGGTTGGTGGGTGTGCTGATGTGATTTGTTCCTTTTTTCCTTTCACACATTTATAATCCTTATCTCTCCTTTTGTTTTGTGTTTGTTTAATTATTACTCTCTTGTAACACCTCTAATCTTCGGCACTTATATGACCGCATTGTATTGCAAGTATCGTAAAACGCTTACTAAATCATGAGTGGGATATAGTATACCAGTAGAAAAACTGACACACTCAAAATATAAACTTTCCAGTGTGGAAACTGAACTCATGTCTTTTGCTTGCAATGACACAGGGCCTTATCATCCATCAGAACATGGACCGCTGTATGCATGATTTGGTGCTATAAAACAACAACTGATCAGATACAAATTAACGAAAACATTAATGAAGTAGGCATATCGATGTCTTCAGTACTCTACCATTCTGTTAATACTTTTGATAATTGGTGACCGAATGTTAAAATCTAATGTCAATCGGTGGGAAATCATACATGCACATGATATTCAAACTATATTGCCATAAAAATGAACTCAAATTGTTATTTTAAAATACACGCACCAAAACAAGGTTTTGAAAAATCTTAAAATACAAGAGAACAACCTTGATTACCGAGTTCTAGAAATGAGAAATGAAATAATTTCAACAGGTTGACTCTTCCGAGTGAAATTGGGGGTAGAAAAACAAATTGGGCGTCTCGGCGGCATTGGAGCGGTTAGTTTGACCTCGATACCATATCGCCTTCCCAGATAGGGTGAAGAAATCCCGACTCCCCGGTGTCTCTCAGCACATCGTAGCGCGGCAGACGATATAAAGATTGTGACGGGTGGAGGCAAGATAATATGTTATTCCTCCCTCACATAGATGAATATTATCGCTGCTTCGTAAGGTCCCTTTCGTGGTGTTAAGGGTTGTGTTTCGAGTACGAACAAAATCCCTTCAATACATTAGAGTTGAGTTTTGAAACATTGATAAACATCAGTGAAGCCTTAATTATAACTGGGTTTTCTTAGTAACAAAAATAAACAATAAATAAAAAATTAATTAAAAAGTAAATGAACAAGAAGCACATAAAAGAGATGAGCGCTGCACCAGGAACAGTTTCTTTTACGGCAGACAATTTCAAACTGCCACGCCAAACACGCTTCAGCGCATGCGTGAAACAGATCCTCACACTTTTCTTGAGGCAGAAGAGCTAGTTTCCAGCGGTGTTATGGGGGAAAGATATCGGCTTTGCGCAAACAAGATTAAAGGTTGTAGCAAAAACATTTCGTCCATCACAGAAACAGTAAAGATAAAAGATATAGACTAGAGAAATTTCTTTTTCTAGGAAGTGAACACTCCAGCCTGC